AGGCTGTCCAGCCTGACCTGGTAGGTTTCACACTTAATGTCCAAATCTCACTTTACGTCTGCTTTAGGCTAGTGTATCCAAAATAGAGGAATAAACTTTATATCCTGAAAGATTCGCTGACTGAAGCTTAATTCACTCGTCTCTTGTCTGGAACCATCCTGACATTGGGCATTAATTGTAGGGATCATAGTTCTCTCCTAGGATGTCTGGGAGTTCCAATGTAGAGGAAGCTAAAACTTTATCCTCTGTAAGTAGAGCTTCCCTTTGAAACACACCTCCTGGCTTGATGCTTCTCATCCTGAAATGTCTCAAAATAAGTCAGACAGCTTGGACCCAGTAAACAAAGGAGAAAATGTCTAATGTCAACATACTCTCACCTTAAGCAGGTCCCAGCTTGGCCATTGCGTGTTTTGGAGTGGCTGCAAAGGTTAGACATGGAGACTTTATAATTTTATATAACTTTATTATGAAAGAGAATGCAGTGAGGGCAAAATTTAGCTTTTGGAGAATGAAGTAAGATGTAGCTACTGGACATTAGTGGTTGAAGTATGCGTCTTGGGGTGCTTTCTTCTTTTTTTTTGTCATTAATACCCAGTCTCAATAAATGCATACAACTCTTCTAAAACTACAGTGTCAGGGAGCCTCATTTTTTTTTTGCCTATGGATGTGTTAAATTCTTGGGCCTTCTAGAAGGCAAGTGTACGCGGGATTTGACAGCGGTAACCCTCATTTCAAGCCTCAAACAGGGTTGGGCAACTCCGCCTAAAGCAACCTTTAAAAACCTGAGCCAGGAAGATAAAAATCTTGAGAGCGTGGCTGCTTCAGTTTATTCCCTTGGGGGACTCCTATCTACCAAGATCCCAAAGATACATTGGGGAATGTTAATGACTTCCAGAATTTTGCTGTTGCCAAATAGTAGGATGATACTCAAGCTCGGAGGTGAGCTGGGCCAGGCCTGTTTGATCCAGGCCATTTGTGAGGCTGGAGAAAGAGCTAAGATCTCAGTTTCTTTGGTAAGAAAATAAGACCGTTTAATGAAAACATGTGTTCAGCATTGGAAGACAGGATGGGTTTTATGCTCAGCAGTCTCACCTCTTCTATTATGGTGAAAAGACAAAAAAGGTGACAGAATAGGATTCGCACCTTACATGGCGTCTACTGGGATTCTTATATAAATGGGACATAGTATCCTCCCCTCAGTGTGACTGTGGGGGTCCCATGTCAAACTGTAGATCACATCATGACCAATGGTGGGTTTCAAAAATTGTTTGAATCTACTCTGTGGGTGTGGCCTCCTTTGTGGGAGT